TAAAGCAGTTAATTAAAAGTAGTCTAACATAAATGCTGTAATGTGATTACTTTAATAAACATGTAACTTGGATGATTGGATGCTGGCGTGACCACAGTGCACACGTCTGCTGTTGCTCACAGTGGTCCAAGGGACGCTCAGGGAGTTTGTGTGTTCAGACACGTGAAACATTAGAGGCAACATTGTTGCCCACATGACAATAATTAACGTCATGTGACAAAACTGTGTAATATCGGGCTACCGCTATGGTGCTTTGAATATGTTTTGTCGGGGTTTGTGTGTGTGTGTGTTTTAGGGGTGAATAGTAAATAATTTCGATGAACAAACATTTCTTGTTTAAACGTGTGTGGTCTCTGTTTGCTTGTGACTTGTGTACTCAGTGCTGAGGTGAGGGGACGGTCTCCTTGTGGCATCATCTCCTTGAAGCCCACCTCATGGCCCGTCTCTGACGTCCTCTGTTATATGTGTCACAGAAACCACACTGAAGTTGTCCTGTGGTATGTTCCCCAACCACATCAGTCAGATGCAGCGTGCTTGGAGCAGACACATACTACACACTACTGCCTGCTGTAGCAGGGTCCATGCTCACAGATTATGCTGATCAGGTACCTGACTGTCAGCACCTGGTGTCACAGGATACCTGCGACTGATTGTCCACAAATAGCTCTTCTAATTTATATATTAATGCTTGAAAACGAAACTGCTATAAAATGTTTTGCTGCTAAAAGGTTAAAAAAATCAAGGAATCCAGCTGCGTGTTTATTTCTTCCTGATGCTCATCTTCCTGTCTACACAGAGCTCAGAGACGAGGCTGTTTCTGAAGACTTGATTGGTCAGTGGATGGTGAATCCATTCCTGCATTTGTTGATCTGTCACAGCAGAAGGTTAGCAAAAGTCACATGTTAGAAGACAGCCAATTAAAAAGCTGGATGACTTGTGTGTTTATTCTTCAGTGCTTAGAGCAAAACTTCAAAAGCTTCAAGACTTCTCAGCCGGACTGAAATACACACACACTCCTACATGATGACTGATATGTTTTAGAGAACAGTGAGGAAGCGTTTTACATACAAGCATGGGTGCAAGAACATAGGAAGTGCATTTTGGTTCTACACAAGCATTTATATAGCATAGCATCTTTATTTATAACGCACTTTAAACCAACAATGTTGACCAAAGTGCTACAAATATAAAACAGAGAGAAAACAGTTTAAATTACATATAAAATATCTTAAAATTAAAAATAATATAATCAATAAGAAAACATATTAAGAGACATCAACAAGTCCTGCTGTGCTGAAAGCCAAGGTAAATAAATATGTTTTAAGACGTGATTTAAAAA